AAAGGGCTCTAAGTACACAGTGGCCTTTGTTAAACATACTCGAAGCTCTGGCTCAGTAAGGCTTGGGAAGGATCTGGAAGTCCGAAACTTTAAGGAGAGTTCTAGACAATTCTCAGTGTCAGACAAGTATAGAAAACACTGCTTCACTTCATAGAGCCTCTTTAACCTGAGGCACAACCAGGCTGTTCAGCTAGTGTCAGTTTCTGTCAGTACCTTTAGGGGCCCTCCAGGGATGAGAGGTGGGTGGAAACCACATTCCGACACCAACACCCTCCCTAGCATGTTTCAATGAAAGCAAGTCTTAAGCCAATTTCACCAGAAATACAAACATTTTATCAGCAGGCAGGCAGGCAGATACAAAAACAACCACACTACCTGTTCTTAGAAGGGCAGTGAAGCCTCCACTCTGTGAGAATTCTGACAAGCACCTACATAAAAGGCTAATTCTGAGTAAGAAGCAAAGATATTCTGACATCAGGACAGACAACCCTCTGGTTGGGTCAAGGGACAGTTTGCCATGACGCAGGACAATGCAGCTAGTCGCCAGAGGCCATCCAGACAGTATTAGGCTATTGCACCCGCCTAACGCAGACACTACAAGCTCACATCTTATTCACGCAAAGACTGCCTGTAACAATCTTTCTGCCAGCCAACTATCTTCAACACCCATCACCTCTCCTACAAAAATTGTATACCTTCTAGCGAGACCGTCACGTCAAAGTTCAGCAGGCTGAGAAGCACCAACTCCATGGGAGCACCGTTAACATACACCAGATGTGGAAAGTGCCCACAACCGTCGTGCAATGCAACAAATCTCCCTGAACTTGGAGCGTGTCTACAGTCTCTGGGGGGGGAAAAAATCTGCTGCTTCTCTGGACCTATAAGAAAAAAGGCTGCATATCATCTTTTCTCCTATTCTGTTTTCCACAATTACATTTCATATTCACCCAGGTGAAGTGTTCATCTCCTATCCACTGTTCAGATGAAGTAAAGTTTTGGAACAGAAATCAGATATCTCAATGTCTATCTAAGGTATACCTCATACTAGTTCGAGAGCTTCCATTTCTTTGTCTGTGAAAGGACTATAATGCAACCTGGCCTTCCTACCTCACCAGATTTTTGAGTCAAATAATAAATATGAAAAATACTTTCTCGATCATAAAAGCACTACATAAGTATAGTGCTATTAATTATAAAAAGAAACAGGGTGCCTGGGTGGCTCAGTGGGTTAAGCTTCCGACTTCAGCTCAGGTCATGATCTCACAGCTTGTGAGCTCTAGCCCTGCATTGGGGTCTGTGCTGGCAGCTCAGGGTCTGGAGCCTGCTTTGGATTCTATGTCTCCCTCTCTGCTCCTCCCCTGCTCATGCTCTCATGCTGTCTGTCTGTCTCTCTCTCTCTCACTCAAAAATAAATAAATATTAAAAAGAAAGAGATCATGTGGGAGCTTAAAAGAATGAAAGGTTATGAGGCTGAGCACCTATCAATTTCTGCATAGCAAAGTTCGTTTTGATTGTTTACAGAGCCGAGAGATAACTATCCACATTTTTAGCTATTACCATTTTCTTTAAATCTTTTTCTAATGTTTATTTATTTATTTAGACAGAGTGCATGAGGGGTGGGGTGCCCACAAGTACGGGAGGGGCAGAGAGAGGGGGAAAGAGAGGGTCCCAAGCAGGCTCTGTACTGTCAGCCCAGAGCTAGCTTGATGCGGGGCTTGAAATCACGAACCGCGAGATGATAACCGGAGCTGAAACCGAGTCCAATACTGAACTGACTGAGCCACCCAGGTGCCCCTGCTATTACTGTTTTCAATAAGCACTTCTTTTGTCACCAAAATTAACAAAGTTTGCCTTTTAGAGAAAAGAACATACCAGGGCTTCAGCACAAAACCTTAAAAAGATGTAAAGTCTACTTTTTCATTTGATTTTAAAGTGATTATCTTTAATCATGTTCATGATCGTAATCTTTGTTCATGTGGATTTGCAGCCGTCAGTATTACAGTCCCTCCCGAAGGTCTCTGCAGTTTTTCCCAACAGTGAGTGCTTCGAAACCAAGTACTGGTTCCGTTCAAATATCTACGGAGCTATCGCATTCCAGGCACTGTCCTAAGCTTTGAAAAAATAAAGATGCAGCCACCCTGGACTCCAGCAGTTTGCCATCTCGCAAAGGGGAGCAGAAGTGAATACACCATTTGAGCCCATGCTGTTAACATGGTGAGAGGGAGACACCGGAGGCCCATAATGGATGCTGTGGGAGCACTCCTTCCACCCTGGGGATGTCGGGACCCCATTAGGGGGGTCTTTAAAGAAAAGCAGGAGAAAAAATAACACCGTTCTCTCCAACTCACGGCAAAAAGTTATTTTGGATAACTACCTACGAGATTTTAAGGAATGGCAAACTTGATGAGATATTTCTTAGAATCATTGCCCACAGCACCAAAATCCTGTTTCTATATTACAAAGAGAAAGTTCACGTGCTTTCGACACAGCTGCACTCATGCCTTTTATAGTGGTACAGACCCATCATGCAAGGCAACATGTATCACCTCCCCCTGCAGCTCAGGCTTCTGGTAATTGGTTAGTTCTGCTACTTACTCCTTGGGAGACTTGTGAAAAGCTTTACCTGACAAGAAGGATGAAATTACCTGTCACAGTTATCCTTCGGACTATTTGCGGAATGTATCTAAACTTTGTTCCTTTTTCCCACATGATCCTAAAAGGAAGGGATAGACGCAGTGCGGCCAGCAAGCGAGCCAGACAGGTCAGGGCTCCAGGCCTAGCTGTGCTATGGGCCCACCACATACTCACAGTGAATCCCTCACCTCGCTCAGGCTCGATTTCCTCTCTCGTTAAGTTAATGAAGTGGATGGCCCTCATAGTCAATTCCAAGTCTACAAGCCTATGTGCCCTTTCTAATGGAGTATGCTATTTGGAAGACCTGCCTAAAATGGCACCAAAATGATGTCAAAATGTAGTTTTCACTTGGGAACAAATTTGAGGCATTTTCTTAAATCCTAATAGAAACCAAGTAAAATGAATACATAGGTGTTTCATTGCTCTTTAGCAATAAAAAAAAATTAAATGTGTGAAGGTGACAAAAACTAATGTCTTTACAGATCAGCTTTCTTCTCTATATGTGGACTTATACGCTCACACGTAATTACATTCCATAAAAGCCTTCCTTCTCGGTCATAAAAAAAAAAAAAAATGATGAGCTAGGTTTTCTGGTACAAAACCAAAGCCATTTAAAGTTCAAAGAAACTTGTGAAAAGTTTTTAAAAGAGTTATTTCAGTCACTAATTAGGACAATTTCAGTTAATTTAGGACACTTGGGCAGTGTTTGGCTTTGACTATTAGCTGACTGGTGCACATGCACACAGAGAGCGAAAAGTAATGGTCAAGTGCAAAACTAAATTAGCCAAAGGAGGAGTTCTTGACCGTCGGGGAGGTTTTTCTTGTTTTTTAATTCCCACAATAGATCGGTTCACCTAGCAGTCAGATCTGCCCCAGCACATCATTCCTCACGGGTGAAATTCTCATTCACCCACACAGTCACTCCACGAAAAATAAGGCAAAGAAGCAGTGAGGCGCCCCGGAGATGATTGACATTCCACTAGGGCAGTATATCCAGATGCAGGAGGTCATTATTCACTGTAAATAGATACATTCTGTCCAACAACTTTATGAAACCACCTTGATTTTTCCCCCTCTCATTTTTGGCGGGGTAGGGGGAAAAGCTCTCCCCCAGTTGGGAACTGTCCACAACTTAAAACGATCTGCTGACAACACAATGAAAGAGACGTAAAATGTAAAGTCATCACATGCTAACTTCATAACGTGAGAAAGATGTACTGCGGCAAGCAATACTCGAATGCCTCCGGATTTAAGGTAATTAAAGTATATCCGAGTTCTTCTAGCAAGGGAAAAACTGGAAAACCAGCTATTTGAGACTGTGGATGAAGTGCCGGTAAGAGAGACACTATTTCATCCAGAGCTGCGGAAATCTAGGCTCATGTTCTCCAACACCTTCCCTCACAGCCTGCAATCCATCAACCAACTCCAATTTATTCTTTGCACTTAGGATTATGACCAAGTCCGTGTACTAAATGGGGAGAAACCACACAAACATCACCCTGAAAGTTTCTCTGCTTTGAGCCAGCAGGAAATTCCAGTTACTTCATTCACGAGGGCTAGTCAAGCTGCTGGAATGAAATGGGTGCTTGGAGAGATCACTAGTCAGGACACAGACTTGATTTTCAGGATTGGAGGAGGGCAACGATGAATGGGATTCAGTCTAAGCTCACGGTCAAGGTCCTTTGAATCACAAAGAGCTCGTGCGGTGGGAAGGCGAAATGGCATGAGCACACACACAGGCTCGCGCGCGCACGCACGCACACACACACACACCCACACACCCACACCCCTTCACTAAAAGTCTGCATACTTTGATTTGTAGGTGAGAGCGCCGGTACGCGGTAGGCAGAGAGGTGACAAGCACCCCCAGCGCTCACTGAGATCCCCCGGGGTTTTTACAGAGCCTGGCGGCCTCTCGAGAACTGTAATCATTCTATATCCATACCTATCTTGCACCCTGGCTTCTCGTATAGGCTGCCTTCCCCTGACCCTTTCCCACGACCTGGGCTCCTCCTCTGTCTACAGCGCCCCCGGGTCTCCTCTCTGCCTCCCACACAGAAGAGAAGGACCGGAGAGTGGGGCGGGCCCGCCCGATTCCCACACTCAGCGCCCACTCGGCCAAGGCGGCCAAGAACCTCCCGGAACCCGAGAGTCTGAGGGCGCCGCACCAGCCACCACCTGCGCGGCCGCCGCGTCCCGGGTCAGGCCGCGCGCACCCGAGAAGCCGACACTCGAGGGACGCAGGGGGTCTGGGGCTCCGCGCCGCGGCCCGAGAGCCGAGCGGGGACCGCCAGGGGGCGGGAGAGAGCAGCGGGGCCCGGCACCTCCCCGCCTCGTTCCCCTCCCCCGACCCGCCGGCTACTCACGGATTTTCACTCGGCGGTGGTCTAGGCGCACGGCGGCGGCGTGCAGGGCGTCGAGGCGGCGGTGCAGCGCGGCGCTGCGGCGGCCCAGCGCGGCCGCCTGGCCCTCCAGCTCGCCGAAGATGTCCCCCGCGCAGCGCGACAGGTCGGCGAGCTGCGCCAGCAGGCGGACCAGGGCGTGCGAGCTGACCTGCTCCAGCGAGCGGAAGAGCGGCGCGCCCGCGGCCCCGGCCGCCTCGGGCCGGCGCAGCCGCGCGGGCTCCACGGTCCTCTGGTGGAAGGGCATGGCGGGGCCCGGGGGGCGCGGGCGCGCGGGCCGCCCGGGGCGGGCGCAGCCCTCAGTCCACCGCCCGTCGGCGCGGGGCGCGAGTGCGCATCCAACACAAAGGAAAGTCCGGGCAGCGGCGGGGCGCCGGGGGGCAGCCCGGTGGCTCCCGCCGCGGGGAGGAGGCGAGGCGGGCGGGCAGCACGGACCGACGGGCGGAGAGGCAGAGGAGCGCGGGCAGCCGCGGGGAAGGGCTCCGGAGGGTCGGAGCCGCGGCTGCCTGGCGCCCGGCCGCGTCCTCCCGCCGCCGGGGTGCCGGGGCCGCGCGGCGAAAGGAAGTTCAAGGAGCAGCTCCCGGGCGCGGGGCGCGGCGGCCGCGGCGGCGAGTGGAGACCGGAGTCCCGCTCAAGTTTGCAGGGAGGCAGGAAAGAGCCGGCGGCTCCTTCCCTCCCTCCCGATTGGAGAGGGAGGAGGAAGCGGGGGAAGTGCCGCCGACACCGGGCGAGAGGGAGGGGAGGCGAAAGAAAGGAAAGGGGGAGGAGAAAAGGGCCGGCCCGGGGAACCACCTGCGGCTCTCGCGGCCGCCGCGCCCAGCGCCTGCGGGGAGGCGGCGGGGCTCGCCGCGGCGGCCCGGGCCGCACGGTCCGGGGGCTCCCGGGTCGCCGCCCCGCCCCCCTCCAAAGCCTCGGGGTGTTTGGGCAGAGCCCTCGCCCGCCCCCCGGGCCCGGCGCGGGCGCCGCGGAGGCGGAGGCGCGGGGGACGAAGCCTGCCCGGCTGCTCACCTGCGCTCCAGCCCGCGGCCGCCGTGAGTCAGGCGCCCCCCCCCCCGCGCGACGAACGCCCCGGGGCCTCCGAGGGCCCCCCAGCCCCACCTTGGAAGTCGGCCAAGGCTCTGGCAGCCTGTGTGGCCCTAAAGGAGAACATCGTTAAATCGCACAGTGGCCGGGCGTGGGGGTGGGGGGAGTGTCCGTAGCCGACTAGGAGTCCAAATCCCCATCGGATGAAACCTCTGAGGACCTCTTTTCTGAAGGGCTTTTCGAGGGAGTTTCTCTTAGCAAGTTGGCTCCCTCTCCTCCAGCTGGAAAGGTTCTTAGCTGGGAGTTTCTCCTCCCAAGCCTGGGGGCGGGCAGTTTGGGGAGTGGGAGAAGGGGGCCAGAACCTAGAGACCTGAATTTGGTGCCTGGAAGGTGCTTAAACTGATTGCTATTGACGGGATGATCGGGGGACCCCCCACCCCCCCCCACACACACACACACTAACTCAGACCTTACGGTTAGAAGCATTTGAAGAGACTGCATCCGAATTCCTGAAGCTAAAATCCTACTGGTCCCATCGCCATGTTTGCTCAGAAAAGGAATCTAGGTTCTTGGCTTCGGCCCCCCAAGTGGCCCAAACTGCTGTGCCATCGGGGTGCAGTTTGGGAACCGGTCTATCAAAGTTGTGCTTGCTGATCATGCTACAAAGTGGATTCTTCTCGCTGGGAGACACGAGAGATGCAAGACAAACAGGCCTGAGAGAGCATCTTGAGATAAAAAGTTAGCAAGCAGAAACGTTTTGGGGTCTTTCCCCCGTTGTACAGCAGATCATCTTTCACAATAGGAGCGAGTAACAGATAACAGTCTCATAATCGCCCACTGCGACCATCCTTGGAGTTGTTACGAGGCACAAAGGAACTATTGCTGTCAGTGAACAAATGGCTTTGCATTTATGAAGCACTGCCTAAATGACAGGTACAGTATAAAAGTGTGCTGCTTCCTCAAATATTTGTCCACTGCCTGTTGAGGCATTGGCCAGAGAGAAGGTAATGGGCAAAGCTGGCTCCATCCCTGCCATGGTGAGGCTTCCAGTCTAGTGGACCACAGTAACATTCCAAATTCATACACCATACAATTCACCTTATCTAAAGCGTACGATTCAGGAGCATGTGGGTGGTTCAGTCAGTTAAGCTTCTGACTTCGGCTCAGGTCACTATCTCCCTGTTTGTGGGTTCTCGAGCCCTAGGTCGGGCTCTGTGCTGACAGCTCAGAGCCTGGAGCCTGCTTGGGATTCTGCTTCTGGCCCTCTCTTCCCCTTCCCCACTCACACACTCTCTCTCTCAAAAACAAAATAAAAACATTAAAAAAGTTTTAAGTGTACAGTTCAGTGTTTTTTAAATATATATACATATATATACATACATACATATATATATATATATTCACAGTGTTCTGCAAACATCACCACCAAATCAAATTTTGAACAATTTAGGGGCACCAGGGTGGCTTGGCCGGGTTAAGTGGCAGATGTTGGCTCAAGTCATGATCTCTCAGTTCGTGAGTTTGAGCCCCACGTTGGGCTCTGTGCTGTCAGCGCTGAGCCCACTGTCGCTCCTCCGTCCCCCTCTCTCTACCCTCTTGCCCTCTCAAAAATAAGTAAACACTAAAAACAAAAGAACAATTTAATCACCTCCTTCCCCTCGCAAACAATTCTCTTCAGCACTCACTCATCTTTGTTTCTATGTATTTGCCTCTTCTGAACATTTCATACAAAGGAAATCATAGAATATATGCTGTGTTGTGTCTGTCTTCTGTAACCTAGCATATGTTTCAAAGCTCATCCATGTTGTATATCAAAACTTGGATTCTTTTTTGTGGATGAGGAATGTTCCCTTGTATGGATGTTTCTCATTTTGTTGATTCATTCATCCATTCATGGACATTTGGGTTTCCACCTTTTGGCCATTATGAATGAATACTGCTGCTGTGAACATTCATGTACAAGTTTTTGTGTGCATATGTTTTCAGTTCTGTTAAATATATAGCTAGGATTAGAATTGCTGCATCCTGTAATAACTACATTTACCTTTGAAGAATGGCCAGACCATTTTCCAAAGCACCTGCACCATTTTACGTTCCCCGTGCATGAGGGTTCTGCTTTCTCCAAATCCTGATGAATACTTGTCATTATCTGTCTTTTCTATAAGAGCCATCCTAACAGTTGTGAGGTGGTATCTCATTGTGGTTTTGATTTTGATTTCCCTGAGAGTTAATGATTTTGACATCTTTTCATGTGCTTTCTGGCCACTTATTGAAGAATATAATTTATGTCTAGAGAAGTGGCTACTCAGATCCTTTGCCCATTTTTAAATTGGGTTATTGTCTTTTTGTTATTAAGATGTAATGGGTCTTTATGTAGTCTAGATACATGTGGTCTATCATGCATAACGTTTACTGCTTCAATAGTCTTGTGGTTAAACATTATTCTTTATGCATTCATCATCATCCCTTGAGATTGTTTCTTAGTCTGAAAAGAAATATAGTTTAACCACATAAACTAGTATAAAAGGAGCAAGGATATGTTTGTAAGTTTGTAAACCTGGGGCAATATGAATAGAATTTTTTGATCAAATGATTTCATCCCTGCTCCAGAAGCTGAACTGAAACCGTATGTAACCAGAACGTTGAATAAATAGGATTCATGGACAGTACCCATAAGTGCAACTTAAGTTCTGTTGCCTACTGTCCTGTTAAGAATCTATTGAGGGATGATAGTTCTTTCTCTTCAAACTGAATGACAGTCCCATAACTATTTTGTTCTCTCAAGTAATAGAGAATTCTACCATTATTCTAAGAAATAAGACATGCTCTCTATTCAGTAACTAAAATTGCTTGTCCTGTTCCCCAGCAGGGACTTTCTCTGGGCAGAAGTCCGGGTACAGAGCTTGGTCCTGCTTCATCTCACCCCGCCCCGGCCAGCTTGCTAACAGTCATCTGGAGAGGGAGAAGTGGAGGGCAGGGAAGTTTTTCCTAGATCACCCCGTCGGGGCCTGGTGGATATTTGAATTTTCTGTGAACACTTTCATGGCCCCTTACTGGCAATGTCTGACCCTACTTCCGGAAATACAGGCAACGAATTCTCTTGAACTGCTTATTCTACCTCAGTCTTGGCTTTCCTTCAGTCCACTCCACACAGACTCTTGGCACTGGGGACCTATCAACCCTCTAGTGGGACCTTTTAGGCAGAATTCCTTTTAAAATGATCCCAGGCTGACCCCCTACTTTGGACTCTACATATGGTCTCTGAGATTCACACACCTTTAAAAGGTTCATGGTTGGGGCACCTGGGTGGCTCAGTCAGTTAAGCATCCGACTTTGGCTCAGGTCATGATCTCACGGTTCATGGGTTCGAGCCCCGTGTCAGGCTCTGTGCTGACAGCTCAGAGCCTGGAGCCTGTTTCAGATTCTGTGTCTCCCTCTCCTCTCTCTCTCTCTCTCTTTCTCAGAAATAAATAAAACATTTAAAAAAACATAAAAATAAAAGGTTCGTGGTTAAAAGGTAGAACAGTCACCCCCCAGGCATAGCCCTCTACTCCGCTGCCATAGAATGTAGTGACTTCCTCAGGTGGGAGTCTAGCGCCCACCCACTGTTGGTCAGCAACCTGTGCCAAGCTCTCAGAGGTCCTAAGGAACCCCTTCTCACTGGGCTTGGTATTAGATGCCAGTGTGCTTGCCCATTGTGGGGGGATGGGCCAGAGGTGAAAGCAGAGCTTCTGGTGCAGCTCTATTCAAACAAAATCTCCCAGAGCCTCCCCAATCTTCAGCCACCTCCCTCTTAGACCCTCTGTATGAATGAGAATCTAACCAGCCCTCCACCATTTACTTTGAAATGTCCACATTGTAGTCTTCATCACAACTCATTCTGGTATCCAGTATGTGTCACTTCCTGGTGCATTGGTCACAACTTACCATTTAACATCCTGTAAAAGAAGACAACGGAACAAAACATTATGCTAACTTATCCCAAGAAGAATTTAATGCCAGCTACTAAAGGGAAATGGGAAAAGAAACCAGTCAGGATGAGAAGAGGTTTGGTGTGACATGCAGTTGGAAGTGTGTGACGGGCAAGAAAAGATCTAGGGGGTGGAATCCACAAAAGAATTGGAAGCCTCGGAGGTGACAGTTAACAGTCATCAGAAGAGATGTCCCAAGAGCTAATAGGTGAGGATAAGGAGCCATGAACTGAAAGCTAAAGTCCAAGTGAGGGAAAGCCCCCAGCCAGAGGGCAAGAGAAGAAAGAAGCTTTGAAGGAAACAGAGGAGGAGGAAATCTGAGTGGTGACTCACCAA